GCGTCGTGTCGTTGCACCCATGGTTGCGATTCCTCCATCAGATGCTCATACCACTGGTCAAGATGGTTACTCCTCAGACCCTGGCTCCTCTCCATCTCCTCCTATTCGGCATCATCAGATGGTTACTCGTCTTCGTGATGGCATACGACAACCTTTGCATCGTACTGATGGCACTGTTCGCTATCCGCTTCCACATGCTTTAGCGGCTCAGGTTACTTCTTCACTTCGGGAGCCCACATGTTTCTCTCAAGCTGTTCGCTTTCCAGAATGGAGAGCCGCTATGACTGATGAGTTCAATGCTCTTCTTAAAAATAACACTTGGACTTTGGTACCTTCATCTCCGCATCATCACACAGTCGGTTGTAAGTGGGTTTTTAAAGTTAAACGCCTCGCAGATGGTTCAGTTGAACGTTATAAAGCTCGCTTGGTGGCTAAAGGGTTTCATCAACAATATGGGATTGATTATGATGAAACCTTTAGTCCTGTAGTCAAGCCCACCACTATTCGTACGGTACTTAGCATGGCTGTCTCCTTTGGTTGGCCTCTCCGACAGTTAGACGTCAAGAATGCCTTTTTGCATGGTGTTCTTAATGAGACAGTTTTCATGACTCAACCTCCTGGCTTTGTGGATCCTCATCGTCCTAATCATGTTTGTCGTCTTCACAAAGCCATTTATGGCCTTAAACAAGCACCCCGTGCTTGGTTTCACCGGTTTAGCTCATTTATCATTCAATATGGCTTCACTCAGAGTCGAGCAGATCAATCCATGTTTGTGTATCGCCACTCCTCTCATATTATGGTTCTTCTGTTATATGTTGATGACATAGTCCTCACCGGGAACACCCAGTCCATGCTCTCATCCTTCATATCCACTTTGGGCACTGAGTTTGAGATTAAGGATTTAGGCCCTCTCCACTATTTCTTGGGTCTTGAAGTGAATTCTATCCAATCTGGTATACATCTCTCTCAAACCAAATATAGTCTTGATCTGTTGCAACGTAATTCTATGGTTGAATGCAAACCATGCAGCACCCCCATTCATTCCAAGGCACAACTTTCCTCCTTGGATGGTGAGCCATTATCCGATCCTACTGAGTATCGTCGCTTGGTTGGTTCTCTTCAATACCTCACACTTACTCGCCCCGACATTTCCTTTGCAGTTCAACATGTTGCACAATTCATGAGTATCCCTCGCACTTCTCACCTTACTGCTGCTAAGCGCATTTTGCGCTATCTCAAAGGCACCTTACAACTTGGCCTTGAGTTTCGATCCTCTTCTAGTCCTCTTGCACTCCATGCCTACTCTGATGCTGATTGGGCTGGGTGTCCTGACACTAGGCGTTCTACTTCAGGTTATTGTATTTTCCTCGGTCCAAATCTCATTTCTTGGAGTGCCAAGAAACAGCCTACTGTTTCTCGATCTAGTGCTGAGTCTGAATACCGTTCTCTAGCTGGGGTCAGTGCAGAGACAGTTTGGATTTCAAATCTGCTTCATGAACTACATGTACCAGTTTCCAGGCCAATTACACTCTACTGTGATAATCTTAGTGCTACCTATATGGCCTCAAATCCGGTGTTTCATGCTCGCACCAAACATATTGAATTGGATTATCACTTTGTTCGTGAGCTTGTTCTTTCCGGCAGCCATCGTGTTCAGTTTGTCCCATCTATTGATCAAACTGCAGATCTCTTCACCAAAGGCCTTCTCAAGCAACGCTTTCATCTCCTTCGTTCCAAACTCGTCTATCAAAGACCGCCGAGTTTGCGGGGGAATGTTAAAGAATTGTAATGTCAACGGTTGACTTGATTACTTTCCATATCAATTTATATTTCCTGTATCAATTGCATATATTATGATTGCTGTCACAAGCTATAGTGTAGGCATAGATTTATTCTTTCCATTCTTACACTGTTGTAAAGCCTTTAAATACCCTCTCTGAGATTCAATACAATTATCGAGTTCTCAAAACTTTACACATTTCACTATAAAAGAGAAGAAGGCTCTTGCTGTTTAATACACATCTCAATTTTCACAGACCGTCCCGTTTCGAGTCTATCAATGGCAGAAGTAACAAAGAGGTAGCACTTTAAAGTACTGCTTTCATAACAATTTCTCACTATTTTTGTGTTCTGAATTTGGTGTTTTTTGTTTTCTCAGGTATGCAGTTGTTACTGGAGCCAACAAAGGCTTAGGATTGGAGACTGTCAGGCAGTTGGCCTCAAATGGATTTATTGTAGTCTTGACTGCCAGAGATGGCAAGAGGGGTCTTGAAGCTGTTGAGAAACTCAAAGAGTCTGGCCTCTCTGGTCAAGTGGTTTTTCATCAACTTGATGTAGCTAACCCTGCTACTGTTGCTTCCTTGGCAGACTTCATCAAAACCCAGTTTGGGAAACTGGATATCTTGGTATGTATATGATCATAGCTGCAGGTTTCTTGAAAATGTTAATGTCTTTTGAATCCAACTCTTAATCCAAATGCGATTTTGTTCAAGGAATTGGAGAATAAAAATTGCAAACCATCTACAACTCTGTTTTTGTTTCTTGGAATCCTTTCATATATGATATGATCCCTTTCTGTACAATTTACAAGTACCCTATAAAGATCAGTGGCTGGAGTTAAGGGGTTTGGAAAAGTAGCATGGTTGGTTTGGTTGTATTATGTTCTTTTCTTTGCTAAAAGAAAACAGATAGTGAAACAGTTGGACTCTGCACAGGTGAACAATGCAGGGATTTTTGGAAGCATAATAGATGTTGATACTTCTAAAGCTGCTGTAGCCTCTGGTGCCATGGTAAATCTTTTGCATAATTTTATCAATTGCTATCAAAAACTAAAAGCTTCAATATATATGCCAAAGTGAGAATTTAAAATGATCTGTGGTTTGGCAAACTTTAATCAACATTTTTCTTGTTTGGGGTGTTGAGCAAGTGGTGGGCAATAGGCACTATAATAATAAGTTTGTTTTTGCTGATACAGGAAAGAGGAGAAGTTGATTTGAATAAACTAGTGACTGATACTTATGAGTTAACAGAAGAATGCTTGCAAATAAACTATTATGGTGCTAAAAGAACAGCTGAAGCACTTATCCCACTCCTCCAGTTATCTGACTCACCCAGAATTGTTAATGTTTCGGCTGGCTTGGGGATGTTAAACAACATACCAAGCGGTTGGGCTAGAGGAGTTTTTACTGATGCCGAAAACCTAACAGAAGAGAGAGTAGATGAGGTACTGACTGAGCTTCTAAAAGATTTCAAGGAGGGTTCACTTGAAAGTAAGGGCTGGCCTTCTTCTATGCCTGCCTATATAGTCTCAAAAGCAGCACTGAACGCATATACAAGGATTCTAGCAAAGAAGTATCCCAATTTTCGTATCAATTCAGTCTGCCCTGGCTTTGTCAAAACAGATATGAACTTGAATGCCGGCCTCTTGCCTGTCGAAGAAGGTGGTGCCAAAGTTGTGAAGTTAGCATTGCTGCCCAATGATGGCCCTACTAGCTCCTTCTTTGTTCACAATGAAGTGTCGGATTTTTGATTGAAGATGATCCATTTATGCAAATTTAATACATGTCATTTATTGGGCCATATCTTGTACTGTATTGTAATCTTAAGTATTTTGGACACCAGCAGATCCTTTTTAGGTTCTTTCTACATTCAATACGAGGATGGCATGTAAATTTCACCAAAGTACAATGTTTAAATAACAAAATAAACTGCACCCCAAAAAAGACGGGAGCATTTTTGCTCACCACTTTAACCCAATGTGTACCCTCACCACCCTTCTAAAAAGTTGACATTTGTCCATATAAATAACCATAGTTAATTTTTGGTTTTAAATCTTTTAAAATATTTAAAACCAAATAATAATAAAAAAATAAAATAACTTTCTCCTCTCTCTTCCCCCTCTCCGACCGACTCCCTTCATCTATGACGGCTCAAATTCTAAACCCATCTCTGCCGGCACATCATCCCTCTGGTCCTCCACCGCCACCCTTGTGCATCAGTCAATTTACTTTATATAAAAATACAAATAAAGCATAAGTCTTTCAATTGGTTCAAGTAGTAATAATAATACCTATCGACCCTTACGGAAGATTACAAACTCACCGAACCAAATTTCCCTAAAATCAAGATCTCTTGGACTCTAGTGCTTTTGTCAGATTCTCCTAGGTTTGAGATCTAGTGGCTGTTAATGAGAGTAGGCTTAGAAAAAGTTCGAAGCTTTTTAAAAAAGTGATTGGAATTCAACTTGGGAAATTCGTTTATGTAAGCTATGCAATTCTTCTTCCTCATAAATCAGTCTTTGAGTCCTTACTTTTTTGTGCTTAAAGGCAAATAGGGCGCGGCGGAGGGTGAACAAGGCGGGGAAGGGAATGGTGGCTAGGTTGTTAGAAGGGAATGGCTGGGTTGCTATATGGGGAATGGTGGCTTAGGGTTGCTGGAGGTGGGTCGGGAAGGAGGGAGAGAGAAGGAGAGTTTTTAAATTAAATTAAATTATTATTTTATTTTATTATTTGGTTTTAAAAAAAATTAACTATGGTTATCTCATAGACAGGTGTCAACTATTTAAAATGGTGGTGATGGTACACATTGGGTTAAAGTGGTGAGCAAAAATGCTCCCAAAAAAGACTTAGCTGACTTGACCTTCCCCTTTGGTTTTTGGGGAAAGACTTAGCTGTCCTAGGGTGATTACTCCTTGTTCCTTCCTACAGAATCTTGTGATGTATGCAAGTTTCTTGCGTTTAGAGAAGAGACACAACACTCCCAAATAAAGGCCGAAAAAGCCACATTTGTTATAAAACTAAAGAAATTGAAGAGAGAATTTAGGGAATTCGATAGCGACATGAATGCTCTTCTGTTATTTTCATTGAGATTTTCTTCTATATCTACAAATGAGAATGAAGCTATAGTTCTACAGGCAAAGCCTTGGCTAACAATTCGGTAAATAAAAGACTCCAGGAAGGTGTATGGAGAATTCCCTTTCAACATGTGGGCTCCACCTTATCATCTTACAACAACATTAGGGGGTCTCACCCTCTTTTGAGTGTGCTACTGGTGCGGCGGTCCTATTTACGACTTTTTATCCCATCACAAGGTTGTGACAAGTAAATTAATATATATTTTTAAAAGTCAATTTCGGATTAAAAAACTAAGGTTAGGAAAAGACATAAAAGGGAGTGTGTGAGATCAGTCATTACGATATCCATGTTTCAACATGATATTATTATTACATTACTAGTCAATCAGAAAAAGTAGGTGGGGCCTACATAAAGTTAGGAATTAAATCCTTTGAAAGGGATTCAATTTTTAGGTGGGAGGTGATATTTTAATTTCAAAAGAACTAACCTATTAGAAATTCATTTTTTTTACTCATTATATCAGATATTCTCACACAATTTTAAAAATTCCAAATTTGTCATCTACTTTTACTTGACAACGAGAATATTTTAATAATTAGCACAACTCATACCCTAATTTCATATAGTTTAATAAACAACTTTAATAAAAATTTAGAATCTAACTCCCCTCAATCCATATGATTTAGTAAATAATTTCAATAAAAATATAGAATCTAATTCTCTTCAATCTAACCCTTCCTTAATTCAATTCATCTTAATCCATAAGATTAGTTGATTGTTGAGTTTAGTTAAGCACTTGCGTCACCACCCCCATTCTTTTCCTTCTAGAAAACGTTAGAAGCATCCTCAATCCAGTATTTATATAGGAACAAACGAATCAAAAAATTGATTCTTCTCATTATTATTTATTTGAATATAGACCTCCAAATTCAAAGGCTTTCCAAGAACATTACACTATAAAAGAAAAGAAGGCTCCTTCTTTTTAATTAATCTCAATTCTCACAGACCGTCCCGTTTCGAATATATCAATGGCAGAAGCAACAAAGAGGTAGCACTTTAAAGTCCTTTATGCTTTGAAGTACTGCTTCCATAACAATTTCTCACTATTTTTTGTGTTATGAATTTGGTGTTTGTGTTTTCTCAGGTATGCAGTTGTTACTGGAGCAAACAAAGGCATAGGATTGGAAACTGTGAGGCAATTGGCCTCAAATGGATTCACTGTAGTCTTGACTGCCAGAGATGAGAAAAGGGGTCTTGAAGCTGTTGAGAAACTCAAAGAATCTGGCCTCTCAGGTCAAGTGGTTTTTCATCAACTTGATGTGGCTAACCCTGCTACTGTTGCTTCCTTGGCAGAGTTTATCAAAACCCAGTTTGGAAAACTCGATATCTTGGTATGTGTATGATCATAGCTGCAGGTTTCTTGAAAAAGTTTCTGTCTTTTGAAATAATTATGTCTTAGGCGCACACAATATCCACACAGGTGAAGGATATATTAGAGACTGTAAAATTGAGTGGCTGATCCATATATTGCTTGCTTATTGTGACTACTTCCAGTCGTGGAAGATTTTACTATCAAATCTGACTCTATGTCTGTCACATTGTTTTTTTTTTGTGTTTTTGTGTGTGTGTGTGTGTGTGTGTGGAATTCTTTCCATATATATGCCATATGATCTCTCTCTGTACAATTTACAAGTACCCTAGAAAGATCAGTGGCTGGAGTTAAGGGGTTTGGGAAAGGCATAATTGTTGGCCTTTGTGGTTGGTTTGGTTGTAACAACAAAAGAGATTTATCCAAGTAATCAGAGGATCTACCTTCTTCCAATTAATTTCATTTTCTAGAAAAATTTTCAGTTCTTTTCTTTGCTAAAAGAACCCAAATAGTGAAACAGTTGCACTCTGCACAGGTGAACAATGCAGGGATTAGTGGACGCCAAGTAGACGGTGATGCTCTTAAAGCTGTAGTAGACTCTGGTGCCATGGTAAGTCTTTTGCATAATTTTTATCAATGGCTATCAAAAACTAAAAGCTTCAATGTATGTGCTTAATATGAATGTAAGTTCTCTTGATGTCTTCCTCTGTCTTGAAATATTTTCATTGTGATGTGCATGTCAAACTTTGATCACCATTTTTCTTGTTTGGGATGGGTGTAAGTGGTTGGCAATAGCCACCATAACAAGTTTGTTCTTACTGATGCAGGAAAGAGGAGAAGTTGATTGGAGTAAATTAAAGATAGGAACTTATGAGTTGGCAGAAGAATGCTTGCAAATAAACTACCATGGTGCTAAAAGAACAGCTGAAGCACTTATCCCACTCCTCCAGTTATCTGACTCACCGAGAATTGTTAATGTTTCCTCTTCCTTGGGGAAGTTAAAGAACATACCTAGTGATTGGGCTAAAGGAGTTTTTACTGATGCTGATAACCTAACAGAAGAGGGAGTAGGTGAGGTACTGACTGAGCTTCTAAAAGATTTCAAGGAGGGTTCACTTGAAAGTAAGGGCTGGCCTTCTTCTTTGTCTGCCTATATAGTCTCAAAAGCTGCGCTAAACGCATATACAAGGATTCTAGCAAAGAAGTACCCCGATATTCGTATCAATTCGGTATGCCCTGGCTTTGTCAAAACAGATCTAAACTCCAATGCCGGCGTCTTGCCTGTCGAAGAAGGTGGTGCCAGGGTTGTGAGGATAGCATTGCTGCCCAATGATGGCCCTTCTGGTTCCTTCTTTGTTGAGTATGAAGTGTCAGATCTTTGATTGAAGATGATCCATTTATGCAAATTTAATACATGTCACTTGTTGGGCAGCATCTTGAACTTTGATGTAATTTAAGTATATTTGGAACCAGCAGCGGATCCTTTTTAAGTTCTTTCTAGATTCAATAAGAGGATGGCATATATGATGCTTATTGTTGTAGCCACATTCAATTGTGCAACATTCTCTATCTAATAGTCCTCTATGATTGCATCTCTGTGAAATTATCTCCCACATCTGGAATTGATTGAAGGATCTGGTGCATTGTTTGTTTACATTTCTACTATTCATCTGGCTCTTGAACTCATGTTATCATTTGCATTGTTATACAGTCAGAAATTCTATGTGATTGATGTCCATCCTTTGATCGATATTATCGATGGTATATTGATAACATTTCGGTATATTTGGTTAGACATATGTCAGAGACAATGATATTGACACGTTATTGGCAATCCATCATTTAATTAAGAAATAAGTGTAGAGAAGAATTTATTATTCAATATTATGCAACTTAAATTGTAGTAGCACAATTGCAAACTTCTGCAGTCAATTGTTTAAAAAAAACAAAAAGACAACATAGGTCTCGTTAACAATTATGTAATTTTGGAGCGGTTAATTCACCAATCTTGCCGGCGAAACTGCTTCAGACATGGCATGTGGTTGATGGTTGAGTTAAGCTCTCTCTGCTCTGCCACCACCACCAAAATGCTTAAACAATGGGGGCGAATGGGGGCACTTGCGTCACCACCCCCATTCTTTTCCTTCTTTCTTAAAAGAAAAATCCAAACAAATGTTGTTTTCCCATCAGATTAGTTCTAGGAAACATTCGAAGCAAGCATCCTCTCTCCAGTATAGGAACAAACGAGTCTTAACAATTTTCTTGCTCTTATTATTATTTATTTGAATATAAAACTTGAAATGCAAAGGTTTTCCAATAACATTATATTACAACCCAAAACAAGGCTCCTTCTGTTAGTCTCATTTCTCACAGACAGACGATCCAATAAACGAATCAGCAATGGCAGAAGCAAGAAAGAGGTGGCACCTTAGAGTCCACGCCCTTTGAT